ATTGAATAGAGGGGTTCGTTGGCGACGCTTAGAAAAAAATGGAACTCAATTCCGAGTTAGAACGAGCCCAAACGAATCCGAAACATAAAGTCATGCAAACCGATGTCAATACTAGGTTACCAAATTCGCAAAAACATAAAGATCAGGTTGTATTTTCGCAATATATAAAGAATAGGTACCAAAATCACAATTACCCCATAGTATAGGTACTAAAATAACAATTACCCTATTTTAAAATACTATGAACTAATTTGCATATTAGCAAATTGATATAAATTTCGCAGATCGAAACTCATTTAGTGTTTGACTCGTCAAATCTTCTAACTAGTTCAGTAAATGGCTTATTTCACTAGTTTTTTAGATCCAAACGGCTAATTTTGAAAAGACTCAATATATGAGATTTTTGGGTAGAGATGATTCATAAAATAACTCGACAACATAATATTTCAAAAATAACTATAGAAACAGTTATTTACCAAACACTAATATTACAAACCATTGGTAGAATTAGTTATTCAAATCAATTATTATAATATGTTATCAATTATCCAATAATACTATAGGTTGTTTAACGGTTATAATCATACTTTTTCAACAAAATTGCATTTTTTTCACACTTAAATATCATACTTTAAGTTATAGTATAACCAAAAAATATGAAAATTTATTGTATAAGTATTCATTTGTGAGGAAAGTACGAGTATCTAATGATTAGACGGCCTAAGAACAACTTTTTGTGTGTGTAAATAACAATTTGACATCTATAGTTGTTTTAATTATATATCAATCAATATGAATGAGAACACCTCACATGGCAATGATTGCTACTGAAATTATATTGAAAAAATAAAGAAAAACAAACGTTTCTATTAACATAAAATATCAATTTTGCTAGTGAGGTGCATCGGGTACCTTGTCACTATAAATACGCCACACTTGTGTATTTGCAATTTCAAAACATCCTCAAAAAGCTTTTGTGCGAATAAAAAAGAAAAGAGTGAGGCCTTTGTCTATAATTGTATTCGTCCTAACAAACAATGGCTGCCCAAGTGGATGGATCTTCAAGTTCCGTGAGGAATCTCCGGCCACCGGTTGTCAGTTTTAGTCCCAGCCAATGGGGCGACTACTTCACTCACTTCTCATTGGACCCTCAGGTGCGTATATCTCGGTTAATTATCACAATTTTTTTGTGAGACAATATAATCGTTAGACGGGTCGATTGACATACAATTTGAACAATATATATATATATATATTTATTATCAAATGTCATATTATTTAGACCTTCAGGTGTGTATATCGGTTATATCATCATAAATACTTGTGTTAGACTGTATAATCGGAGTTAGATTTGTCATTCTATCTGAATTAATATGTATACAATATAAAATGTCATACTTTATTTAATATTATTTTATAAAGTGTGATATTTTTAATGAAAAAATGCAAATTAGTGCTAGGTAAATGTTAGACTAACCTAACTTCAGGCCAACTAATGTGTTACTCGTTTCCAAAAATGGAAAATGGGATTGGTATAAATATGGCCATTTGTGTTCAGTTTGTACGCTACTAAAATCCTACCAAACTCTTCTTGACAAATGAACCTACAGTCACAGAAAAAGGTCAAAAATAAAGCAACCTGGTACGAAATGGTTGAACTTTAGTGTCAACGGCTCCACCATTAATTTGATCCATAGAAATTTGACATACTTTAACATATTGTAAACCGAAGGCCAAAACACTTCTATGTAATCACTTACATATATCATTCTAGAAGTCATTAGTCGCTTGTTAGACGGTAGACGGATGCTTAGGCAGCTGGGATTAGGCTACCCTAGGCACGTAAAAATATTAATAAATCAAAAGCATTTGGTAAGAATCATTACTAATTTATAACTTACTTAGTTAATTTATAAGTTTTTTATATTAATTCCAATAAATTTCGTGATAGGTAGCTCATTAACTTCTCCAGGTAAGTTTTTAAATAAAGTATATTGACATTTTTTTCGAGTAACTTATCAATTAATTTTAAAACATCTTATAATATTAGCAATATTTTCAGTCATCAGATGTCATAAACTATCAACTATATATAAATCTAAAACACATTTGGTCTATCGACTAACTTATTATCTATCAGCTGACTTTTTCCGTTGGATCTATCAAACATACTCTTAAACTTGATAATAATTGCATAATAATGTGTTGAACATGCATGCAGGAGCAAGAAAAGTATGCAGAGGCCATCGAAACCCTGAAGAATGAAGTGAGAGCTAAGATAAACGATGCAAAATCTAGCAAGTTGATTACTTTAGTCGGTACAATTGAGCGCTTGGGATTGGGATATCATTTTGAGACAGAAATCACTTCTAAACTCGAAACAATTTACGAAAATCTGCACGATAAGAATGAAGACCACGACTTGTTTACTACTGCACTGGGATTTCTTCTCTTGAGGCAACATCAGTATCAAGTTTCGTGCAGTATGTCCTTTTATTTGCATCAAATTACATTTAAATGATCACAATTCACACATGCATATTTTATTTATATTAATTGAATTATCTTATTCGATCCATGACTGTACCGTACAAATCACAGGTATTTTTGCGAAATTTATGGATGGAGAAAACAAATTCAAAGATGATGTGGCAAATAATGCCGAGGGGTTGTTGAGCTTGTACGAAGCGGCCCATGCTCGTATTCATGGGGAGGAAATTTTGGATGAAGCTGTTCCGTTTACAACACATCACTTGAAGCGGATATTAGCAACCGAGACAATAGAATCCTCACTCAAAGAACAAATTATGCGAGCTTTAGATCATCCCCATTACAGGGGAGCTCCAATCATTGAGATACGCATTTTCATTTCATTCTACGAAAAGAAGGATTCCAAGGACCCGTTGCTTCTCAAACTCGCCAAGCTCAATTTTAATTTCTTGCAGAATATGTACAAGAAAGAGATGTCCGAACTCTCCAAGTAACTACTCCGACATTTTCTTTCTTTTGTTCCGTTTTCTATTTTTGGTGTTTGAATAAGTTAATAATGAAACATAAAGTGTACTTACAAAATTTTGTTATATCTGAAAGGTGGTGGGTCCAATTTGACATTAAGTCAAAATTGACGTACGCACGAGACAGAATTATCGAATGCTACCTCTGGGGAGCAGCTTTCCATTTCGAACCTCAGTACGCTTATATTCGAACAATTGTTGCTAAAAACATGCAAATGGTTTCGATAATGGACGATACGTATGACAACTATGCTACACTTGAAGAAGCTCAACTCTTCACCGACATTTTGGAAAGGTACTTAGAATCTCTTTTTGCATTTGTTTCCATTTTAAATTTCTCTCTTCAAATATAAAGAGAAATATAGATGGATTTTATTAGAAGCATAATTTTTTTATTTTTAGATGGGATGTAAATGAAATCGATCGACTCCCAAACTACATGAAGATTGTTTATGAGTTCATCATGAGTATGTATGAAGACTTTAAGCGCGATGCAGAGGAACAAAACAAATCCTTTGTAGTTCCATTTTACATAGAAGCGGTAAGGACCATCTATAATCTATTTGGCATTGAGATTCAAAGTTACCGACTAATTAATTTTTACACACTTGACATCATTTATAATGTCTAAAACCTTTCACAACAGGTGAAACAGCTTGCTCGAGCTTACAATCAAGATCAGATATGGATAATGGAACGTCAAATGCCCTCGTTTGACGACTATATGAACAACTCGGTGATCACAGGTTGCATGTATGTGATGTTTTCAGCTCTAATCCCGGGCCTCAAATCAGCTACCAAGGATATTGTTGATTGGTTGGCGAGCGAGCCGAAACTCTTAATATCCACTGGTAAGATGGGTCGACACCTTGAGGACTTGGGCAGCGAAGATGTAAGTATATTGTACATCAACAATTTAAGTTAAAGAATTTTATATATGAGCTCTTCATTTTTCATGCAGTGTGGTGAGACATAACTAAGTTTTTTTTATTTTTTTTATTTTTATTTTTTTTTTAAATCTTAAAGCGCGAGAGTAGAGAAGGAAAGCTACCAACGGCGGTTGATTACTACATGAAGGAGCACTGCGTGTCGAGAAAAGAGGCTTTGTCGAAATTCAAAGAGTTTGTGGAGAATGGATGGAAGAACATGAACACAGAGTGGGTCGTCAAAAGCTCGGTACCAAAGGAAATGGTCGTGCAACTCATTAACTATGGGCGGGTGGCCGAGGTGACCTACAAGAACGCGATAGACCATTATACTTTCCCTGAGAAGTTCATGACTCCAATTATTACCGCCACATTCGTTGACCCCATTGCCATTTGATTTTGAATCAATCTATTGTTATGTAATTTTGTTGCAGCTTGAATTGTTATGTTGTTCTTGATTTCTGTTACTTGTTTGGATTTCTATTGTTGTTGTACTCTTGTTGCAGTTTGCATTGTTGAACATTTGTTGTTCTTGAATTCTGGTTGTATCTTGCTCTGTTAAAACCTATATGGTTGTTTTAGTATATATGGAGCAACAAATAAAGGTTTATGAATAATCATTATATGTGAAGTTGTGTATTGATTGGTGTCAAATGGACCATAAGTATTAGCCATTGCATCAATCCATGCTTTGAAAAGAATTTCGGAACCTTTTTGTCACACAGATAGATTATTATCGAGGAAAGAGGGTGCGGTGGGGTCCCACACATGTAAAGTGCACCATAGCAGCATAAATCAAAGTGCACCTTAGTGAAGTTTCATTCCGAAACCAATTGGTGATAAGAAGAGTAACCCCACGACCACTATGCATATAAGTTAGACTTATTTTTTCTATATAATCAATGTGGAACATTCTAAATACATAATGTATAGTGTTGTATTTAAAAAGTAAATTCTAATTAAAAATAACATCAGACCCAAGTAACGCTGCGTGTTTGAACCAAATCCTATATGTATACTTATTGATTTCCTCCTATCTTAGGTTTCTCCATAGTTTGTNTGGTATGGAAGGGGACCCGACATGAGAAGTGCAAAGTTTCTGACAATTGAGTGCTACAAATTACAATGTAAAACTTATACCAAAAATCTGGAAAGTGTGTAATATCTTTTACAATGATGAACTTTTTCATCTTAAAAGTTCACTGTTCTGTCTCCTTACCGTAAGTGTCTTCAAGACCATTTGTTACCTTCTTTCTTCGCTCGGCAATCATATCCGAGTATGCCTGCAAAAACAAATACCATGAGGGAAGCTTACTTAAAATTCTGAACATGAAATGTAGTAAATGTGACTCTGGCACAACTGTTTTGTGGGAGTAAATATAAAACAAAAATTACCCAGCATTTGTCCGAATTACTAACAAGTAACAAATTCCCAATGCCTTTTACGATTACAATTACCTCCATAAGCATTACCAACACTTTGTGGCTTACATTTTTTTTTTTTCCGCAATGAATCTTCGCATAAATTAAAAGCAAAAATCTAGAGTAAGAAAAATATCAAGGGGATAATCGTAATCTCAAATGGTATCAGAGAATTTTTATTTTTTTTAGTTACTTTTCTTGTGATTAACCCTAAACTAAACCAGCATGCCTATGCAAGTTTAGTAATGGCAAAATCGTGTGCTTCTACTTTTCCAATTCTTCATTTCAAATATTTCTAATATAAATGGTTCGTACTTTCAGTACAAAAGGCTGGGAATTATGGTAAGTAAAGGATTAGGACATGTTCACCGTACCTTTGGATACGAGTACAAGAATATGTACCACCACAAACAAATTACAACTGCTACTATCGAGGTAACAATAATGGAGTTCAAAATCAGCCAACTACCCGTAATTATTCCTATTCCAGTTAGACCGATTGTCCAAGGTTGGCACCTGAAAATAGATGAAAAAAAAAAGAGTGCTAACATTGTCTGAAACTGTAAACATAAGTGATAAAAAAAAATAATAATAATAAAATAAAATAATACATTGATTACACATCCTAATGATCTCATTCTTCTCTTGCAAACCTCTTTTGTTAACCAGTGCTGTCTTGATATGGAGGTAGTAAAGATGAACTTTGTGTACTTAATTCTAGCCCTTGAAATGTGAATCTTATATATGCTAATTATGGATACACCCACTAGTTCTACTACACTATCTGATTAAGGTTCACATAAGTTCATGACAAAAGTATCTTAAGTCATATTCCTCTGCACACAACTAGATACTTAAGTTTTCATGACCAACAAAAATTGAGTCGTATTATACTTGAAAGTTACAAGCCCTTTTCAACGCGTAACAAACACATTGGTAAAAGATCAATAAACATACGAACATCATATTTAAAAAGATTGAAACTAACTTTGTCTAGGCTACTGTCTGTTGTTGGGCAGGCCTAACAGTTAGGCAGTCTCGTTTCACACTAAAATGCCACTCTAAAAACAACATGAACAGAAGTATGATATTTCATAGCACAAGTTCACGATTGCTACAAATGTACAAATGTCCTGCCTAATGGTTAGGCTGCTAAACCGAGTAGTTGGAATCATTATAAGCCAAAGATTTATACATTTTCAAACAGTCACAAATTTCTTATATGGGCTACTCATGAATCAGACCACCAGCTAGAAAACCCATCAAATTTCGCCTTAATTGAGCATACAATAAAATTCCTCATAATAATTAAATTCCACAAATTGCATAATAAGCTAGCTATAAGGGGGTTACCATGAAGGTTTGGTGTCCCACACGGTGTCGTACTCAAGGGATAGGTAATTGAGGTAGCCGTCCATGTCCTCGACGGCGCCGTTTTCGTTGAAGAAACCCGACTCCTGAACCGGGTCAGCGCCGTCGCTGAAATCACTCCTCCGGCGGGTCGTCCGGTTTCTGGTTTTGTAGGATTGGTTGGAAGCTGAACAAATTCTGGCGCCGAAATTGAGAGAAAATGGGGGTTTATTTGGGCGCGAAGAAGATAATTGGAGGGAAATGGGGAGATGTGAGTAGCACAAAAGGGCTACCATCTTCGATTTCGATCTTCGGAACTAGTTGGTGCACTGTGTGGCAGTATTTTCATAAGACAAATGAATTTAGGACATAAGAAAGGCAAAATTGATGATTTTTTTTTTTTTTTATTATTAAGGATTTTGTTTTGTTG